AAATGGTCATCAAGAAGATCTTTGAAATTTACATTGAAGGAGAAGCAAGCAAGTACTTAGGTCCCCCTGAATGTTTTAGTGGTTCGTAAATGAAGTTACATGGCCACTTAAAGGAGCGCAAAAGTTCAGAATGTCGGGATGTATCTTAAGAAACTTTCACAAGGGGGAAAGGAGGTTCTCTTGAAATCTATTCCATCTGCACTCTTATCTTTTCTGAAAAGCTTACCTTCTGACGTGCAGCTAACTGGACCGAGGCGACTACTGATATAGGGCCTAACATTATATAATATCATGTTTATTTGCATGTAGCTGCAATCTACAATTAAATGTAGATAATGTAAACTTAGAAGAAAGTATTGAGAATGTGTTGTTGTATTCATTACTTACGATGAGTTTATATACACTACAAAGAGATCTCAACAATAGATCCTTAGTTATCTGTATCTACAAATATTCTACGCATATTCTCTAACAACTCTTATACGAGCTTATCTCGACTCCAACTAATCTTCCTTCACAAGTAAGTCAACCAAACCAAACCAATCATTAAATCAGACCGAACCACCACTAACACTATTACTCCCCCTCAAGTAGGTGAATGTAGATTACGAACACCTAACTTGGACAACAGGTAGTTAAACATAGAAGCTCCCAAAGCCTTGGTCATGATATCCGCTAGCTGTTTCGTCGTACGCACATGCCTTGTCACAATCAACCGATCCAAAATTGCATCCCGTACACTATGACAATCAGACTCAATGTGTTTCGTAAGTTCATGAAACACAGGATTGTTTGCAATACACAGTGCTGACTTGCTGTCGCAAAACATCTCCATTGGCACGTTATGTTGAACTCCCATGTCATTCAAGAGCCGCTTCAACCATTTGTGTTCACGCAGAAAAGCAGCCATGGACCTGTACTCTGCTTCAGCTGATGAGTGTGATACGGTATCTTGTTTTTTAGTCTTCCAGGATATTGGAGAATTCCCAAGTAGAGTGATGAAAGATGACAATGATCGCCTCGTATTGGGACAAGCCGCCCAGTCGGCATCACAGAATATACGAAGTCGAAGATCACTCACTGCATTCAGCTAAATCCCTTGTCCTTGACATCCCTTCAAGTATTTCATAACTCTTACTACCGCATCCCAATGTGCTTCTCTTGGTTTGTGCATGACCTGCGACAATACATGTATGCATAACTGAGCTCCGGTCGTGTAATGGAGAGATACACAAGCTTTCCCACAAATCATCTAAAACGTGCAGGGTTTTGTAATATGGTCCAGCATCTGCCATCAACTTATGGTTTTGTTCCATAGGAGTCGAGACAGGTTTGCATCCGAGGAGCCCTGCTTCTGCTATGATGCCAAGAGCATATTTTCTCTGAGACAAAAACATACCTTCAGCTCCCCTTGCGATTTCAATTCCCAGAAAGTTCATAGCTTTTCCTAGGTCCTTCATTTTGAAGCACTCATTCAGATACAGCTTAAACTTGCTCATCATTGTCGAACCATTACCAGTTATCATCAAATCATTGACATAGATGAGAACTCACAGCGATTTATCTCCTTTGATGTATGTGAACAATGAATAATCAGAGTAAGACTGCTTAAAACCAAACCTCTTTAACGCGGTTGTCAACTTGGCGAACTAACATCTCGGCACCTGCTTCAGACCATAGAGAGATTTCCTCAACCTACAAACTTTACCCGGTGCACTACCTTGAAAGCCAGGAGGCATCTGCATGTATACTTCTTCTTTTAAATGCGTTGTGCACGTCCATCTGACGCACTTCCCAGTTCTTAGCCGCAGCCACTTCTAGCAGAGTTCGTAATGTAGTCAACTTAGCCACATGAGCAAAGGTCTCGGCGTAGTCTTCTCCTTCCACTTGCATGTTTCCACACACTACTAGACGAGCCTTTGGTCTCTCCACAGTCCCGTCAGCGTTGTATTTGTATTTGTAAATCCACATGCACGCTAACGCTTTCTTTCCTCTAAGAAGCTTCATCACATCCCAAGTCAGCTGTTCTTCAAGTTCCGTTACTTCTACTGACATGGCTTCTTTGAAGTTGGGATCCAACATCGCTTCTTTAAGCTCTTCGGTTCTGTTTTCTCAGTGATGACTGAAAGAAACACCTGATGTTTTTCTGAAAACACAGCATCAGTAACATATGCAGAGAGTGGGTAGGACGTTTTACCTTCAACCGAATTTGAGTACCTTGATGGAGTTGTTTCAGGTCAGATTGGAGTGGTGTTATGTTTATCAAGGAGACATTGTGCGTTGTATGTCACATAGTCCTTGAGCTGACCGAAGGTTGTGGGATTCGATGTCCTCTTCCCAACATCTGCTCTTCTTGACCAGACTCTGCTGCAGGCGGTGTGATCTCTTTCCCGGTTCTACAGGTGTTGCAGATATCTCCTTCTCCGTCTCAGCGTTTTTTTTTCTGCTACTCCACTTTCAAGGATCGATACAGCTGATCTCTAAGATGATTTAACTACACCTTCAGTGCTCCCCCTGGATTCCTCATCCAGTAGTGTCTCATGCGTCATCCCCAAGTCGTGAAATACAGGTAACTCTTTGCTCCTAACCGGTTCAGTTGCGGTGTCAAGGTACGGGAATGTGTCTTCTTTGAACACGACATCACGAGACACGAAGAACTCGTGACTCTCTAGATCATACAGGTTCCATCCTTTCTTCCCTTATGGATATCCAACCATGATACATTTCCGACTCCTTTCTTTGAACTTATCTTTATCACGAGACAATTTGTGCGCGAAACATAAGCAATTGAACACCTTAATATCATCATAATTTGGTGCCTTTCCATACAAGTATTCGTAAGGAGTCTTCCCATGTAGCAACCTGGAAGGTGTTCTATTAATGACATGAGCTGCAGAAAGAACACACTCACCCCATAACTTGATGGGTAGATTTGCTTGGAACATTAATGATCTTGCAACGTTGAGTATGTGTCGATGCTTTCGTTCAACTCGACCATTCTGCTGCAGAGTGGCTACGCACGACGTCTGATAGATGATTACATTGTCCGCAAAATACTTAGACAAGCAAGTAAATTCCGTACCGTTGTCACTCCTCACCTTTTGCACCGAGTGATCGAACTGTCTTTGAACTAGTGTGCAAAAATTTGGTAAAACTGTCATGACCTCCGTCTTCTCAAGTTCTAAATGTATCCAAATAGCTCTTGAGAAATCATCAACGATTGTAAGAAAGTACACTGCACCACATGAAGATTGTTTGCGATATGGACCCTATAAATCAACATGTATCAACTCAAATGGCATTGAAGCTTTATTAGAACTCTCGGAAAACACCCCACGAGTTTGTTTTGATTTGAAACAAATGTCACAACCACCAAACTTTATTGTCTACAACACCAGAAACAAATGGTAAATTTCCTAAAACACCAAAGGAAGGATGTCCTCATCTCCGATGCCACAGATTCTTGTCCTTAGCGACCTTGATTCTGTGTCCTCGTGCCATAGTCACATCTCGATAAACATAAACACCATCCCTCTCTTCACCGACTCCAATCAGGGTCCTCGTAAAACGGTCTTGCAACACACATAAAGTATCAGTGAAGACAGCTAGACATCCAGTTCGCTTAAGTAACTTGGCAACCGATAACAGTGTGCAATTGAGATTAGGCACAAACATAACATGTAACAAAGTAATCTTGTCTGAGAGTCTAAGTGAACCACTCTTTGACGCGAAAACTTGACTACTATCTGCAAATCTCACAGGGCAGTTCACAATATTAACAATCTCAATAAGTAGAGAGAGACCACCAGTCATATGATGAGATGCCCAGTGTCAAGCATCACCTCACCAGTTTGCTGCTTACCATTCAACTTGTCAGGAATCAGCGTTGTCTTTTGCTGCTCAAGTAAAGTAGATAGAGAGGCCCATTGTTCGTTGGTAAGTCCAGGAACATCAGTTGCTTGAGCTGCATTAGCCTTTGCTTGACCACGGCCTCTGCCTCATCCTTTATTACGTGCACCACACTCGTTGTTCTGATTGCGTTCAGTCCACCACTCTGGAAACCCCACAATCTGCCAGCAGTCCTTCTTTTCATGTCCAGACCTCCCACAGTGAGAACACACCAACGAGCCTCCACGACTCCGTGCAACTGCTTCAATTAGACCACTCATTTAAGTGTTGTCACTAAGACCTCCATCCGATTTAGTCACAAACCCGACAGCATCTTGTTTTGCTTCAACTCTGGACGACATCAAGCTCTCTCTTCTCTAACCACCCGCTGATATACGGAGTTGAGATCTGGTAGTGGATGCATGCCAATAATGTTAGTATACACATTTCCAAATCGTGCATCATCTAGCCCCATCAGGAACGTGTGTACTTTTTCTTCTTCATACTCCACAACAAACTTCTCCGAGGCTCCGCATGTACATGATGGGATTGGTTTGTAACTGAGGACCTCTTCCTTCACAAGTCAACCAAACCAAACCAAACCAATCTTTAACTCAGACCGAACCACCACTAACACTAATAGATACACTTTAAATTACCAGTTGCAGAGATTTTAAACTTCAACTCAGACTTACTTACAATTATTGTAGACTTACATGCAAACGAGCGAACAGTTGATCCCTGTTTGGCTAAATAACTTTTGGTAGGCCATATTTTAATATGTTGTGGAACCAAAATGATGAATATTTCGGGCTGCTTTGTGGGCTTGCTTGTATGTTTGATTGTCACGGCAAGTGACCTAAAAAAATGCTTCCTACCTGACTCAATGTCAATGCATTTGGCAACGCCAAAATGTAGAGATACTTTAAAAACTGTTACCAAATCCATAAAAGCAAAACAGAGTACCAACAATTTTAAAGGAAGAAGTAAATCATAGGGTTTACTAAACTTAAGAAGCTAATAGTAACCCTCAGCTAACAAACTTGAAAGCAATCATCTCAGAAGGTAAAGAGTGTCTTCTTCACTTAACATCTACTAGCTTCGCTTCCTCCTTAACGGTTTCGTCTCTTGTCTCCTGAATTTGTTGTTTCCTCTGGAAATGACACAATTCATTAGAATTAATGAAACAAAAAACACCAAAATCTGAAAAAATGTTCTCTACGACTATTATAACATCATCTCGAATGCTATACTGAGTACTTCTATAACAATCATTCACTCTCAATTCATCTGGAAGATGTTACCAAACATAAACTAATAAGATCTTTGAAAATCCTTACCTTCATCATCACTGTCTTCAAACTCTTCCATGCCTCCCATACCTCCCATGCCACCAAGTCCTTCAAGTCTGGGCATTCCACCCACACCGCCAAGTCCACCCATGCCGCCAAGTCCTTCAAGTCCGGGCATCCCACCCATTCCACCCATACTGGGCATTCCTCCCATACCGCCCATTCCTCCCACACCGGCCAAGCTCTGCAAGAAACATGAATCAACCATGAAGTCATTTCTCAATGCTAGTTATAAATATTAAGATAAAAGAACATCACACGCTAGAAACAAACCGAGAAATCCATTCCACCCATTCCTCCCATATCCATATATCCAGCACCTAAACCAAATCAAAAAAAAAAGCACAGGAGAGTTAACACCTCCAAAACTTTACATGAAGTGGAGAGAGTGCAACACAAGAACAGATACATAAGCTTAACGACGAATGCTAACCAGAGTTGCCTTCATCATCCTCATCCACCCACTTGTCCCAGTCAATCTTGACATAGTGTGGCGCTTTCCCACCACGGATTAGCTTGTCCCACCTTTCCGGCTCTGCTTTCTCTATTATGCAGAAGATGCTTCTCACTCCAATGTTGATTTTGCTTTCCTGAAACATAAGAAAGGTTACAGAATCTTACATATGAAAGTATACAACAATCAGGTTAGTATACGAATCTCACCTCCACATTGACTTTATCGTGAAGTTCGAGTTTAAGCTCATAAACGTGGTTTTAAGGACCAGCTTTAGCAGAGAAATCAAAGAAACCTTCTAGGAGAAGATTAACTTTAGTCTCCTTGGAATCAGCCAACACTACGGTGGGGAAAATCTTGTCAGTGGTCTCGGCCCACTTCACTTCAGGATGACGACTGTAAAAACACATGTAAGTAATTGTTATTTGATTCATTAATACCGTAAAACTGAAACTTCATTATTCCCAAACATGTCTGCAACCTCAATACTAGGTTTACACCCTAAACCCTAAATACATCTGCTATAAGATTCACGCTTAAACATGTCGAAACTGACGCCAAAATATTCATAAACAATTAAGGGCAACATTGTAAAAGAGAGCTTGATAAACCCTAGACCCCAATTAAAAAACCCTAATTTTGTTTCCCCATTATCCCAAACCCAATCAAAGCGTAGCTTTAAATCCACCGATAGTATACACAAACAAGAGAAAACCATGAGGAAAAATGTAAACTTGAAATGGAAACAGCAGACGAATGAATCCCAACAGACGATGAATCAAACGAATGAGTAAAGCAGAGATCCCAGAGATAATTAAAAAAAAAGGATTATTGTATACCTCATGTTTACTAGATTATGCTTGTAGAAGAAGAACTCTAGAGAAGAGAGAACGAACTAAAACGGTAACGCAAAGAATATTAGATTTTTAACTTGTTTTGATCGGCGGAGAAAAAGGCTCTCTCTTTAGTTGCTCCACATAGATTGTGTTATAGTGCTAGAAGTGATTATCTTATACGAGCTAGTGCACTAAAATATTTGGTGGATCACGACGAGTCAACGGTGTAAGATTAAAAAGCTCGGCCCTTTAACAATTTAACGGTCAAGATGAACGGTTATAAATTAGGGTTTGAGACTTTTGAGTAGACTGATAAGCTATTTGCTTTGGCCAAAATTTCTAGTTATCATCAAACCGAATATAGTACAATTTTGTTTGAATCGATTTGATTTGGGGATACATTATAATCTTTCTTCTTTATGTGTGAATGGAGTTTATAACTGATTCCGAAATTTTCTAAGTTATACATAGCTTACTGTAGATAGCAGATTGACCAAGAAAATAATAGACTAGAATTACATTTTACAAATGACAAACTGTAGTTAATATTGACCCGTTGTGACCTGTTGGAATTGGGCTATAAAGATGTTTGGGCTTGCGGAATTTGCTGAATAGGCCCAGTAAGAGAAGCGACGTCGGTTTTGGTATAAGGCTTTCTTCTTACCGTTGGAGTGAGTTGACTCGGCTCGAGTTCTTGTAACTAACTCTGTCGATATATATACAGAGTTAGAGAGAGGGCAGAAGATAGATCAATCGGGTAGTTGGATCTAGGTTCTTGATTTTACCGAGAGAGAGTGAAGTTCTCGTGTGAGTCTTTAGATCGGAGATTAGATCTTGTATTGTAACTTTCTCACCGGTGATAGTGGATTTTCCGGGAAAGCAATCCCGGCGTGAGTAGGCTGCTGTCACATTGACAGTGGAGGCTGAACACGTTAACATTTCTCTGTGTCATTTACGTTTTCTGTTTTCAATCCATTGTTTCCGTAAACAAGAACGAAGAAGAAGTGTGAGAGAAGAGATCGATCTTGACTGTGAAATCGAATCAAGTTTACAACAATTGGTATCAGAGCCAGGTTCGAGGTTCTGAGATCTGATCTCTTGTATCATGGCATCGAAAAAGATCGAGGTTGAGAAGTTCGATGGATCCGGTGATTACGTGCTGTGGAAGGAGAAGTTGATGGCTCATCTTGAGATTCTGGGATTGGTGGAAGCGATCAATACTGAAACAGTCATACCGGTGAAGCAGAAGGATGGCCTTGAATCTGAGATAGATGAAGTTGCGACGGCTGCGGCTGAGAAGCAGCTTCTTGAGAAACAAAGAAGAGCTAGAAGCACGGTGATTCTCTCGGTATCTGATCATGTCTTTCGCAAGATTATCAAAGAGAAGACTGCGAATGGTATGTTTCAGGTATTGGATAGTCTTTACTTGTCAAAAACTCTATCAAGTAGGATTTATCTTAAGCAGAAACTCTACGGTTATGCTATGAAAGAAAGTCAGACTATTGAGAGGAATGTAGATGAGTTCTTGAAGATTATTGCAGATCTTGAGAATGTAGATGTGTTGATCTCTGATGAAGATCAAGCAGTGATGTTGCTGATGGCTCTTCCACGTCAGTTTGATGGATTGAAAGATACCCTGAGATATAGTAAATCATCTCTAAGTTTGACAGATGTGATCACTGCTATTAAGTCAAAGGAACTTGAGTCTGAGTTTCAGGTTAAGTCACCGAAGAAGAGTTCTGAGGCATTGTTTGTTAAAGGCAGAGGCAATTCTAGGTGGTCCAAGCAAGAGGGAAAAACTCAAGGGAATGAAACGAAGACTAAGTCGAGTAAAGGAAAGGAGAAAACTAAAAAGGTGTGTTGGTTGTGTGGGGAACAAGGTCATTTCAAGATGCAGTGTCCTAAGAGAGGAAATGACCATAATTGAGGAGGGAATCAGCATGGTGAGACAGCTCTGGTGCATCGTGGTGGTGGAGTCAGGGTGGATATGTTATATGTCGGTGAGGTGATGAATATGACTGATGCAGATTTGGAGACTCGTTGGGTTATTGACTCGGGTTGTTCTTTCCATATGACCTGGAGAAAGGAAAGTTTCTTAAGTCTTGATGAGACTGTAACAGGGTCTGTAAGGATGGCTAATGATACGGTATCACAGGTCATGGGACAGGGTTCAGTCAAGCTTGAAAATCGAGATGGTTCAGTGGTGGTTCTTACAAAAGTAAGATATATACCTGAGATGAAGAGGAATTTGATTTCTCTTGGAACGTTGGAGGCTCTGGGGTGTAAATACAGTTCAGAAAATGGTGTTCTTGAGATCTCTAAAGATGGAAGAGTGTTGTTGATGGGTAAAAGACAGGAAACACTTTATTTCTTGGATGAGAAGGAAGTTTCAAAGAATACATGTACGAATGTTGTCAACAAAGATGATACACAGCTTTGGCATAGTAGACTAGGTCATATGAGTCAGAGATGTTTGGATATCCTGGTGAAGAAAGGTTCATTGGATATGAAGTGTGTGTCAGCTTTAACATTCTGTGAAGACTGTGTTTATGGGAAAACACATAGGCTGAAGTTTCCAACTGGGAAGCACACTTCTGCGGAGAATTTGGACTACATACACACGGATTTATGGGGATCTTCATATGTGCCAAAGTCGCATAGTAAGTGTCAGTACTTCCTGAGTATCATTGATGATCACAGTCGGAAGGTTTGGATTGATTTTCTAAAAGGAAAAGATGAAGCTTTTGAGAAGTTTAATGAATGGAGAATTATGGTTGAGAACCAAACAGGGAAGAAAATTAAGAAACTGAGATCAGACAATGGGTTAGAGTTCTGCAATTTCCGGTTTGATTCTATGTGTAAGCAAAATGGAATTGTGAGACACAAGACTATTGCTTATACTCCACAGCAGAATGGTGTTGCAGAGCGTATGAACAGGTCTATAATGGACAAGGTTCGAAGTATGTTGAGTGAATCTGGTTTATCAAAAGCGTTTTGGGCTGAAGCTGCTGCAACTGCTGTTTATTTGATAAACAAGTCTCCTTCCACAGCCATTGGAGATAAGATACCTGATGAAGTGTGGTATCAACGAGAGAGTCTTGATTACTCCTACCTTAGGCGTTTTGGCTGTATTGCTTATGTTCATGCTGATGAGGGGAAACTAAATCCAAGAGCAAAGAAGGGTGTGTTTCTGGGATATCCTGCAGGCGTAAAAGGATATAAGGTTTGGGATTCTAGATGAGGATAAGTGTGTGATCAGCAGAAACGTAGTGTTTAAGGAAGATGTCCTATACAAGAGTGTGAGTAAAGAAGACTGTGAAGTGGTTGAGACAGGTGAAGACAGTCGAATGGTGGAGCTTGAGATTGATTCCGAGAACTCTGAAGAGTTGCATACTGAAGCAGAAGGGAGAGTAGAATCTACTGATACAGATAGTGAAACTGGAACTGTATCAGAAGAGGAAGAAACAGAAGAATCACCAGTTTTGCAAGATTATCAGTTAGCTCGTGATCGAGTTAGAAGAGAGATACGTGTTCCTATAAGGTTTACTGAAAATAATTGTGTTGTGAGCTGTTTGTTAACTACTCATGACGGTGAATCTTCAGAACCATGTGATTATGCTGATGCTCTGAAGGATAAAGACTGGGAGAAATGGAATGCTTCTATGGGAGAAGAGATGAAATCCTTAGAAAAGAATGGAACGTGGGAAGTTGTTCAGAAACCTAAGAATGCAAAAGTGATTGGAAGCAAGTGGGTGTATACCAAGAAAGAAGGCATTCCTGGTGTTGAACCTCCACGACATAAATCAAGATTGGTGGCAAAAGGATATTCTCAAAGAGAAGGCATAGATTATAATGAAATCTTTGCGCCTGTAGTGAAGCATGTTTCTATCAGAATTTTGTTGCAGATTGTTGCTGCAGAGGATTTAGAGCTGGAGCAGTTGGATGTGAAAACTGCTTTCTTGCATGGAGAATTAGATGAGGTCATCTATATGAAACAGCCAGAGGGATATGAAGTGAAAGGCAAGGAGGATTGGGTTTGTTTACTGAAGAAATCCTTGTATGGTTTGAAGCAGAGTCCTAGGCAATGGAATCAGAAGTTCAATCACTTCATGATTAGCAGGGGTTTCCAGAGAGGTATGGTTGATAGCTGTGTCTACGTGAGGAAGAACAGTGATGAATCACATCTGTACTTGCTGTTGTACGTTGATGACATGCTCGTGGCTTCTAAGAGTAAAGTTGAGAGTGAAAATCTGAAGAAAGACTTGAGTACTGTGTTTGAAATGAAGGATCTGGGTCCAGCTAAAAAGAT